GCCCGTCTGCATCCCTGGCCTTCCGCTGGTTGAGCTGTTTCTGTAAATTAAGTCCAGTTTTGCTTAAGCTATTTCCATAGGTACCTCGCTCCTTATAAACAAAAGCATCCTGGCTACCAGAGGGTGACTGCCCGGCTGCCCCGTGTTCAGGACCCTGGCCTCTCCCGCCCACAGAACAGCTGATTCATGTCCACCAGCTTTCCACTCTCGTTCCTCTTGGATGCAGAACTCAGCGTTGCACACTTTGAACTTTGATATAATATGAACAATACAGCACTAATACGAATACTGTTCATCATAGTTCACTGAACGTTTATTGGGTTCAATTATGATTTAGTTATGATTTGATTAATGGCTTTCTGGTGGACTGGAAGTTCTGAGAGGACCTTGCATGGACGCCTCAGAAGCCCCCACTGCAGGGCTGATGTCCCACCTGTTGCCGGGCACTCGGGCAGCACCCTTACGGCCCTGCACACCGTGTTGAAAGCTGCTGGCCGCCTATGAGCACCATGACAGAGATGAGCTGCCACAGAGAGGCTGAAATGTGAAGAAGTCGAGCTGGACAGGCAGCCCTTGGCCTTCTTGGCCTGGTCCTCCATGTCATTTCTTCCATCTCATCCTCCACATCAGCCCAGCCTCTCATTTCCTCAGCTGTGGGGAGCAGAGCAGCCCCATCTCGTCACTGACACTGGCCTACCCAAGGCTTAGGGAAGCAGGGGCTAACTCCCCAAGAACTTGGCCCACCTCTGGCCACAGCCTAACTGTTTTCCCAGCGTGAGTGCTCATTTGACCCCAGCTAGGTCCCCAACACGGTGATGCTGTCCCCAATCACAACCACAGCCCCAACCTGGCCAAGCTCTCAGCTCTCAATACAGATCAACCAGGATGCCAGCTCTGACCTTGACCATGTTCCCCCTTGGACCACACCCCAGGGTTGCCCTGGACTCGCTAGCGCCTGTGGTCCCTCTATCCTATCTCGTTGGTGCCTCATCTTGGAGCGCATCTCCCCGTCTTGTCACCGGGCACTAGGGAGGACATCTTGGCAGGGCTGGGAGGTGGCAGGAAAGTGAACAGGGTGAGAGGGTCTTGACAGAGCAGGCTGTGTCTTCAGCACTCGTCGAGCTGATTCTTCATCTCTTTTCTGAATCTGGATACACTGTGGCTCTCAGGGAGGAAGTGCAGAGAGAGGGACCGAAGCAGCGCGGAGACCCCTGTCACTGTCAAGAGCCCGGGTCTGGAAGGGAGCAGCAGCAAGAACTTGAGACTGACCGGCCAGGGATCCCTGGGGGCTCTGGGCGCCCTCCAGCTGAGCTTGCTCTCCTCTTACAATGTCACTCGCCCTCAGCGTTCTAGCCCTCCGTGAGAGCCAAGGACAGCAGGGACCTAGTCCTTGCCAAGATGTGGCTGCCCGGTGTCCCCCACAAGGGGTTCCACATTTAAAAGTAGAGAAAATAATTATAATTTTTAAAAGATATGTTAATTCATTTTGCAGGAAGAGCGTGGCTTTGCTTAGGAACAGTATGTGATTTAAAAGTGTGAGCCCTAGGGGCCGGCGGCGTGGCCAAGTAGTTAAGTTCTCGTGCTTCGCTTCTGCCATCTGGGGTTTTGATGGTTCGGATCCAGGGTGTGGACATGGCACCGCTCATCAGGCAATGCTGAGGTGGTGTCCCACACAGCACAACCAGATGACCTACAACCAGAATATGTACCTATGCAGAGGGCAAGAAGAAGAAAAGAAGATTGGCAACAGATGTTAGCTCAGGTGCCAATCTTCAAAAAAAAAAAAAAGCGTGAGCCCTAGAGAAAGTGAAGCCATGTCTTGTTCGTAATTTTATGGCTGGAAATGGCATAATATCTACCTCACTAGAGGCTGGGGTTGGAGAGGGGGGTGGTCCCAGCACTGTGGCTGTGTGAGCTCCTTCTGGAAGGTTTGGGTTAAGGCACGGTGCTGAGATTCAGCTAACCCTCCTAGCTATAATGGGAACTGGATGAGTTATTTAGCCAAATTCTCAGTTTCTCATCAGTAAAATAAAGATGATGATATGAAGATGACAATGATGATGATAAAGTGCCACGCACAGAGTGGCGAGGGTTGAAAGCGACAGCACACACCAGGCATCCGGACAAGGGGGCTCTTGGCAACAGCAGGCCAGCATGGCTTCTGTCAGGATCCCCTTCGCCGATCGTGTCTAACGTTTAACCTCACGGGGCAGTTTGGGAATCGTTAACTCTAATGACCTTTCCTTGAGTACCTGCTGGGTTCTGAGTCTCTTCACCCTACTGAGGGGAATCCCTAAGACATAAATCCACCCATTAAAGGAATTTGTGTGGAATTGGATAATTTGAAAATGTTTATTAAAAAAACAAAAACAGGGGCTGGCCCGGTGGCACAGTGGTTAAGTGCGCACGTTCTTCTTCATCGGCCAGGGGTTCACGGTTCAGATCCCGGGTGCGGACATGGCACCGCTTGGCAGCCATGCTGTGGTAGGCGTCCTACATATAAAGTAGAGGAAGATGGGCATGGATGTTAGCTCAGGGCCAGTCTTCCTCAGCAAAAAGAGGAGGATTGGCAGCAGTTAGCTCAGGGATAATCTTCCTCCAAAAAGAACCCCCAAAACACCCCACTGTGTTCTTGTAGGCCTTTAATGCCGACCTGCATTCAAGCCACCCTTCCCCGTCCCTTCTCTGGCCCACTCCCCTAGATGACAATTTCCCCTTTCTCCTCTCTCCTAAACCTCCACCCTCCCCAACCCTGCCACGCTCCCCCTCCCTCAGGCAATGGCCTTGCCTCTTATTTCACTGAGAAAGTGGAAACAACCAGAAGAAAACATCTAACAGTGCCACGTCCACTTACATAACAGTAACCATGGCTGTGTGCCCACCTGCTCCTGCACTGACTTCCTTCCCTACTGGACCATTCCTATACCAGTCAAGCCAGGATACTGTTATTTTTCCCAGCTAAAAAACTACTTCTTCATGGGGCCAGCCCCGTGGCATGTTAAGTGTGCACATTCCGCTTCGGTGCCCTAGGGTTCGCCAGTTCAGATCCCAGGTGCGGACACGGCACCACTTGGCAAGCCATGTTGTGGTAGGCATCCCACATATAAAGTAGAGGAAGATGGGCACGGATGTTAGGTCAGGGCCAGTCTTCCTCAGCAAAAAGAGGAGGATTGGTGGCAGATGTTAGCTCAGGGCTAATCTTCCTCAAAAGAAAAAAATACCTCTTTTCCCCACCCTACTTCCCCTTCCGGCTTCCACCCAACTTCTGTCCTCCCCTTTATAGCAAAACTCACAAGAGGTGTGTATGCCTCTTGTCTCCACGTCTTCTCCTTCCGTTCCCAAGCACAATTTGTCCCCATCACTCACCAAAACTCCCCTCATCAAGCTCATGCACGTCCACCAAGCTGCTCATTGCCCAACTCAAAGGTCACCTCTCGGCCTCCTCTGATTTGATCCGCCAGGAACATGGGCACAGCTGAGTGAACAACTGGCCCTTCGTGGCCCCCACGCACCCTCTTCTGCTTTGACCTCGGCATGCTGTGGGTCCCTGTATAACAGCTAGATCTTAAGTAAACATGAGGGAAGCCATCTTAGGGAAAAGAAGCAGTACTGTAACTATGCCCCGCCTCACTAGTCTCTGTGAAGACATTCTAGCCTGCACGTAGCCTAGATGATTAAGCACCTCTCGCTTTTACAAAATACATGATCTTCTAGTTCTGTGACTCTTGCTTACGCATATCCCCAGCTGTGATAAGACAACTTTGTTCTCTGAGTTCTTCAGGAACATGATGACGTCCAGAAAGAAGAATTCTGTGTTGGTACCCATCATGAGTGACAGAAGAAAGAAATAATATGGCGCCTTGAAGTTCGTCACACCAGATAATCAACATCCCTGACCCCCTCCTCCCCTGCCCATTTTCCTGTAGAACTGTCTCAAGGTTCTGCATGGTTGTAAGATGGTTCTTCAGGACACTAGTCCGCCACCTTCCGATGACGCTAGCTAATTGGATAAATTTTCCTTTCTCAACCACCAGCTTGTTTGCAGTGATTGACACCAGATTGCGGTGAGCAGAATGAGCCCCTTTTTGCTCGGTTACACCTGTAGGATTGCCCAGGATGGCCTGCAGGCTGGAGATCTGCGCTAGGAAGATTCCCACAACGACAGAAACGTTGGTCATTGCTCCCAGAGTGCCCCTAAGGTTCTAGGGAGCCGACTGTCCCACTTACACGGGAAGGGCACTGTAGGAGACGCCTGGTTCCAGCAGAACAGAAATCAAGGGAGGAGAGAAGCAGCCCCAGCCTCCTGTGAGCAGGGGGCCTGAGATTTAATTCAGCCGCACTCATCATCCCCGAGCTTCTCCACGGTGTCAGCCGCCACCGACATGCAGCTTGCACAGCCCCGCCGCCCTGCCGCGGGGATGGAAATGGGCCATGTGGACTGTTGAGTAAGGAAACCCGCGCAGAATCCTCAGACCCATGATGAGGACGTCCTCTCCCTCCTATTTCCAGAGTTGGGGCCGCTCGTCACAGACAAGGAGTGTGCCCTTAGGTATTGGGACTTCAAGACAACTCTTTTGCTTTGACTTATTTTCTGATTTTACTAAAGCACAGTTTACTTGTAGCACTTTTTTAAAAAGATAGGAGAACCTCCTCCAGTTAAGAAACCTCACTCCCTGGCTGACCGAGGCCCCAGATTCTGTATTCATTTGCTTGAAGCCCCTCATTCTCAGTGTAAACCGTACATCCTCCTCGGAAGATACCTTGTAAAACTTTATCAGTTATTTATACTTTAAGATAAAAGTGTACTTTTAAAAGATCTTTCCCTGATAGAATTTTTGCTTTTTTTTTGCTTGACAAGCAGCGCCATGTCTGCACCTGGGATCCCAACCAGCGAACCCTGGGCAGCCAAAGTGGAACATGCGTCCTCAACTGCTGTGCCACCGGGCCAGCTCCCATGATAGAATATTTTATTAAACGAGGGGAAGGGGAGAGAGAGCATGAGGTTTGCAAGGGCCTGGGAACAAAGATAAGAGGATGCCTCAAGAGAGAAAAGGGCCAGGCAGAGCCAGGAAGGCCCTCGTCCTCTGCTCCAACCTCGGCCAGTGGTGCGGGCCATGTCACCTCAGGCCCTTCAGACCCGAGCATGTGCTTGGGCCTTCGGCTGTCACAGACTCCCAGCACCACCGAGAAAAGGTGATCAGCTCAAAAGGCTTGGTCATTTCGCTGACCCCCATCAGGACGGCTGGGACGGTGGTAAAGACACTGTTGATCAGCAGGGCCCCCCTTCTGCAAGGACAGCAGAGCCCAGAGGGCAGGGGGCTGAGGCAACAGCTCTCCCGACACCAACTCCTGTTCTCCCAGCCAGCCACTACAGCAGTGCCAGGGATGTGCCTGAGAAAGGCTGAGGGCTGGGTACAGCGGGAAGGTGGGGACCACTGGGCAGAAGTCCCAGGAAGGAAGGTTTGGGGCCAGTGGGGCTGGTTTGGGGTTGGGAGCATGCTAACAACTGGAGCCGACTGAAAACAGTAGGGAAGGAAAAAGGAATGGGCTGCCTCTGCAGGTAGGGAGCTTCCTGTCACTGGTGGTATTCAAGCAGAGACTAGACTAGAGGAGGTTGTTGGGAATGTTGAACAAGGGATCCCCAAAACATGTGGGATACGGAGTTGGACTAGATGATCTCTAAGATCCCTTCCAAGGCTGGGAACCACGAGTCTGTGATGGAGAGGGAGGGGCTGTCAGAAAAACAGAATCTGCTGGATGCCCCCAGCCTACCCCCAGGATCCATCCTGACCTTCCAGACCAGGCTGTATGCCCCAGGCTGACTTGCATCAGTGGCTCCCTTGCCCCTCCCTCCCCAACCTTTGGCTTGGGTTTTGCTGAAGGAGAAACAACAGTGGATCAGGAATGAAGAGAGCGCCCCAGCTGAGGGTGGTTGCTGGCTGCACCGCCCTTAATGTCCCCACTGTGCCCACCTGGAGGACCATCAGGACCCTGACTGACACACGTGCGCTGAGCCAGTCAGCCAAGGAGGTGGAGCTCTGATGCCAGGGCTGGGGGCTGAGGGGTCTCTAAACCCAGAAACCCAGAGACCCCTCCTGATGGGTGGCCATAGGGGTTCTATGAAAATCCCCTGCTTGGCAACACTGTGGACTCCCCAAATATGCAGACTGGCTTTCTCAGGCTGCTGCTCTCTCCCTGGGGCAGCTGTACCCCTGAGAGCTGCCGACAGAGCCCGGACTCAGAGCTGAGGACCAGCCAGCCCTGAGGCCCAAAGGGAACAAACCGCCCACACATGCCTGCCCTCCTCCAGCTCTTCCTGGCGAGCAGAGGCCTCGGCTTAGCTCAGGGCTGTCCCGACCCCGCCAGGACAAGGCCGCTCGGCCACACCTGCAGGTCTCAGGGTCCTCACCTGAAAAGTGAGGTCAGTGACGGGACCATCTCTGAGGTCCCAACTTCTGTTACTCTGGGGTTCAGGTGAGGAAGTGGAGGCCAAGCCTAGGCTTCTAGAACAGTCCAGTCACTCTTGATCTAGCTGAGAGCAGCACACTCTGAATTACAAAAAAGCCTGGCTTATGGCATAATTATAACATATGGAATGTTCTCTTCATTCGAGTATACAATGTATGGCAAATTCACTGTTAATCAAGTATTTTAAAAAACAGGTCCTATGGGTTTTGCTGTAATAAATAATTTTCATTTGGCCACATTTTCTTTTATGCATGAAAACTGAATTGCTACGGTTCTTTAAAAGTCAGTTTTCTTTGGAGGCCTTTCCACTCTCTCCTACAAACTGCCACCCTTGGCACATCAGGTCCGAGTGTGACTGTGACCCCCAGGGTGGGATCTGGCCAGGTGGAGTCCACGGTGCCGCACCCCGAGATCTCGGCTCACGCCCTCCTTCCTGGGAACCTTGACCTGGGCATCCTTCCTTATCTGTGGAGTCCTGTCCTTGTAGCAACTTGGGTTAGGCACAAAGATCAGTGAGTCCATGTAAGCCAGAAAAGCACAAGGACTGTTCCTCGTTCTCAAACAAGACATGAGCCGGGCACGTGGGGTGACTCAGGCTGAACCCCAAACCTCAGAACAACAACGCTGATGAGGCCGAGCAGGGAGAGGCTGCAGCTGTTACCACAGATCACCTGATGGCGAATTAAACCCAATCAACAAGTTTATTGAACACCTGCTGGAAGTGCTGACAAGGCACTACGCTAAGGACCATCAAGAACTTTGCTCTCGAAGGCCGTACGCACCACCTCCGTGGCGTAGATGACCGAGGAGCTGCTGTTCCTGTGCAAATGACAAGGGGAAGAAATCCCAGAGAGATTCAGGGGCTTACTTTAAGGTCGTGATGTCTATGGGGACGTGGGGACTAGCCTTCAGGCCTCCTGATTTTCAAGGTCACACCAACTCCCCGCCACATGCACCATGGCCAAGAGGCAGTGTGGTTTACTAAGGTGCATTTTAACTGGGAACAGCTCACCTCCTCTTTACCTAATGCCTCCATCAGCCAGCAGGCCAACTGTCAGCGACCCCAACGCGCGGCCCAGAGGAAACACGGATACGGTGCAAGAAAACAGGAGCACCACAACCTTCTCGTCCCTGAATGTTCCATGTCGCTTGAAGTAGATTTTGTTACAAAATGACTTCAAGGCCTGGAAAACATTGCCCCATCCGTAGCCAAGGATATTGGGCAACTCATGAGAGCTGCTGAGGTAATGCTCTCCGTTGCCTCTTGTCATTGTACTGAAGGATGTTTCTGCCAATACCCTTGGACACAATTGATTCTCTGCTGTCACCTGAGAATAAAAAAGCCTATTGTATGATGGGGTGAGATGGGGAACCCGACTGGACAAAAAGTTGCTAAAAATTCACTGTTAAAAAATTCACTTTGCAGAGCCTTACTCTGCAAGAGGCCACATAAGAAATACTGTGTGACTTTGGGCAAGTTATATTACCTCTATAAGCCTTAGTTTCCTCCTCGGTTACAGAAATAATATATATCTAGCAGAGAAGTTGTGAGCATTCAATGTGCTATAGTCATGGTACATTGCTTGACAGAGAAAAGATGTTCCATCAATGTTAATAATTATGAGCGTAGTAATATACGCCATGAGCAACGAGTGCAGTACCTCCTATAAAGCAGATGCTGAACGGAGTGTAGCTATAAACAAATGACATTGATTTCAAAAGTGCAGCGGAACTCATGTACCCAAATGAGCGGGAGTAGTCACTGGGTCCCGTCCTTGCCCTTTCAGGGACTTCTCTCTGCAATTGTCTTCTGTCTGTCTTGCATCATTGGTCCTTCCTTCTTTGTGGCATCCTTCTGGTCAGTGTACAAACACGACTTCTGCCCTATAAAAGCCTAACACGACCCCTTTATCTCCCTTCACTAAGCCGCATTTCTTGAGCAGCAGAACTCCTTCCCACCCACCCATTCTCCTTTGAACCCACTCTAATCAAGCTTTCGCCTCCAGTTCTCACCTCAGCTGCCCTTGTCAAGGTCACTCACACCCGCCATGAGGTCAAAACCAGCGGTCAGTTCTCAGTCCTCCTCTTGGCTCATCAGCAGGGCCTGCCCTCCCTCCTGACTCATGTCCTTTACTAGGCCTCGGAGACTCTCTGCCCTCAGGTCTCCCCCACCTGACAAGAGCCCTGTCTCTTTTTTCTTTGCTTCCCCTGACCCCAATCCCAATCCCTGAATGCCCCAGGGTTTAGTCCTTGACTTCATTCTCTTCCCATCTGCAAGTGACCTTCCCAGGGGAAGGGCAGTGGAACTCAGGCCCAAAGCGACTGGGAAGGGAATCCAGGGCCCTCTCACATCCCCCTCCCGTGTCCCAATGTGCCTGGAAAGGATGACACTCTGGAGAGAAACAACCCTAGTCATCCCCTGGTCTCTAGCAGTGGGTGTCCATGAGAGTACTAGACAGTGGCTTTCAGAAGGAAGATGGTGGCCTCCAAAAGTAAGATGGCAGCTGCCTCCCATCCACCTGAGCCTGCCTTGTGCAGCGTGTTGACCACAGCCATGTTGTAGCCATACTGGAAGTCTGAGCCAAAGGCTGCGCTTGGTGTTGCCAGCACCAGAATGGGATGCAGCTGCTGCAGGAGATGAGGTCTGTGGTCAGGGACTCTGGGGGGTTGGTCCTCAGGACCTCCAGAAGTGGGGCCAAGGCTGGAGTGGGGAGTAGGGGACCCCAGGCCGTGCCCAGGGAAGGTAGAAGCAGCGGCCGGATGGGGAAGGCGATCCAACTAGGAGGCCTGGACGGCATCACTTCCCATTCCCCAAACGCATTCATTCTCTCCTCGAAGACATACACGTCGGAGCATCTGTGTGTCTGGCCCAGAGCCTGGCCCGGGGAGGAGTGGGCAGAGCTTTCGGAAGAAGGTCCAGCATTGTGCCGCTCTCATGAAGCTTACATTCTAGCAAGGGGGAGGCCAAAAAAGAAAGACAAACAAATACAAGAATTCCAAACGAGGATAATGCTATGAGGACAGTAAAGCAGAGCAATGGGATGGAAGCCAGTAGCGGGGTGAGGGGCTGTGTTCAGTAGGGGGAACAGAGAAGGACTCTCTGAGGAAGTGCCTGTGGGCTGAGACCTGAATGGAAGAAGTGGAGCAGCCTCTGAGCATCTGGAGCAGAGTATTCCAGACAGAGAGCAACACACACAGGCCCCGGAAGACCCACACCGCTTGTCCTTCACTCCAGGACAGGCCCTCGGGGACACCAAGGTGATCTCGTTTCCATGGCAACCACAGCACCCAGGGCAACCGGCCAAGGGCTGAAGTCTGCAGAGGGGGCGGCAGAATTGGGGTCCAGGGCTCCAAGAAATTAGCTTGTCTAGAGCCACAGCCCCTGGGCCATCCCCCTTCTGCTTGCCCGTTAACCGCACCCCTGACCGCAGCCCCCCTTCCCCATCAGCTGCCTTGACTGTCCACAGCCCTCAGCCCTGCACACCAGGGAACCAGCCTGGCAGAGAAAAGCAGGATCCGGGCACCTTCCGTGGCTGAGCAAACAGGATGCGGGTGGCGGGCAGAGGGAGGGTGGCGTCCTCAGTGTCATCCAATCTCCCTCACTTCGCCGGAGCTGGACTCAACCTCCCCTCTCGTGTCTGAGCTGTGATGTTTGGGGATGCTGCCTTCCCCCCACTGCTGGCCCAGGGCTGGCGGCCCCCCAGGAAAGGCAGGGGCCGTGCCGTCTTCTCCTTGCTAGAAGCATTTCAGGAGCCTCCCCCTCCCTCCACAGGGCTCCTCTACTGATGGGAAAGGGACAGTGACGGTGACAGTTTCCTCGACTTGGCACGTACCCCCTCTCTGGGTGGGGGAGTCCCTGGCCCTTTTTTCTCCATGCTCGTTCAGGTGAGAAGCAGATGTGCTCTGCCTCCCAAGTGAAACTTAACGTCCTGCTTTGTGCTGACCGCTCGCAGGACCAGCCGCATCTCGGGGGGCCTGCGTGGCTTTCTTACCCTTTTGGCTTCTGGACCCTGTCGACTTTCCCCAGGAGCACATTTTCCTTAGATGCGTTGATAAGAGTCACACACAGCATGACTTTTGTCTTTGCTTCCAAGCCCCAAACCAGAAGCTCCCCAACTGCACGGGGAGGGAAAAACACTGCCCGCCATTGGTCCCTAGAAATGAGGGATCTCGGGCACCGAGTCGGGCCCAACTGCCTGCCCCCTGACGCCTCCCTTGTGATATTTCTCCATCTGTGCTTCCTTGTACGAATTCGGACTAATTGTCCATTTGGGAGAAAGAGCAAACTAAATACTTTTAAAGAAATACAACTAAATTATTCCTAATTACACTCACTATTAAGTCAATAAAATACTGAACAAAGGTGCTCATTTCAGAATGATCTCTATTAGCAAAAAAAAAAAAAAATAGAGAGTGACTGAATAAATCACGGCAACCAAGTGATTGGAATGCCAGGCTGCTGTGTCAAAGGGTGACGATGAAAAGTACACAGGGACGTGGGAGCATGTTATGAACGTTAAGTGACTGAAGCGAAATACACTGGTGTGCCTGGGTGAGAGTGTGTTGGCATGGGGACGCACAATGGCGCGCCACGGCAGTAAGAGAACGTGAGGTCCTTGTTTCTCCTAACAGTCTGCTCATGACAATCTAGGTATTCTCCGAAGGGCTATTTGTTTTCTCTGCTGTGCCCCTCGTTCCTGCTGAGGCCTCGCTAGCAGGGTCGTTAACTGTTAGGAAAGGCACGTGCCTTTCACTCTTGCTAGCTCGGCCACATAACAATGGGCCCTGGGCCCGGGACATCTTTGTACCAAGGCATAAAGAGACCTCACAGCCTGGGCTGGCTTAGCGCCCCTGGCGGGAATGAGTATCTTTCCCTGGGTCAGGCTCAGGGTGTGCTCCTGTGTTCTGCTTAAAGCGCATGCGGCAATGGCCCTCAGGCAAGCTCGCAGCATTCTGTATTTCAGACCCCAAAGGAGGAGTTGGGGTGCGTGCAGCCACACTGCCCTCCAGGGCTGCGGAGTGGATCCACCGGCCATGGGGGCCGACACATTGCAAGGGGCCGCATCTTGGCCTTCTGTCTCCCCTCTCTTCTATGAGTAGACACCACATCACTCACAGCCTGGCATGCGAATTGTCTGTTCTCAGTGACCTTGAGTCATGTCCTGGTCTCTCCCCTGGGTGGCACTTACCTACCTGCCTTTTAACCTTGGCTGCACAGCCTGGCTGCCAGGTGGACAGTGAAGTATTGACATTCATATTTCCACTAGCAATCTCTTCAAGGCAATCCAGGCCTTTTCTATCATGCCTCTCAAAATCTTCCAGCCTCTGCCCATTGCGCAATGCCAAAGCCATTGCCATGTTTTTAGGTATGTGTTAAAGCTTCCCCCACTTCCCCGTAGCAAAGTCTGCATCAGTTTCCTGTGGCTGCTGCAACAGATTGCCACAAACTGAGTGGCTTGAAACAACACACATTTACCACCTTACGGTTGTGGAGGCCGTAAGTCTGACATCGTCTCACCGGGCTAAAATCAAGGCGTCAGCAGAGCTGTGCTCCTCTCGGGACTCCGGCGGAGAATCCATTTCCTTCCCTTTTCCGGCTTCTAGAAGGCACCTGCACTCCTTGCTCATAGCCCCTTCCCCCATCTGCAAAGCCAACACCAGACTGAGTCCTTCTCATGCTGCTGTCTTTCTGGTTCTTCCTCTTTCCTGTGAATACACTGGGCCCACTTGAATAATCCAGAATCATCTCCCATCTCAGGGTCAGCTGAGCAGCGGCCTCAATCCCGTCTGCGATTTTAACCCCCCTTTGCGCTGTAACCCGACATAGTCACAGGCTCTGGGGGTTAGGACCTGGACACACTTGGGGGCATTATTCTGGTGAATGCAATCGTCTTTAGTCTGTTCCTAAAGACTCTTGAATGCTAGTCCACCAGCTCGTTATCAGCCGCCTGAATTCGGAATTCATTTGGCACATCTCCTGTGTGCCCGGTCACAATGCTTGTAGTCTAATGGCATCGTTGAAACTCTGCCTCCCTCACTTTCCTCTGACTCGACCACCACAACAAGGTCAAGCTGACGGCAAAACCAGGCTCTTCCTGCTGTTCCTTCTGCTTGAAACATTCCTTCCCCAGGTCTCAGGTCAAATGTCACCTCCTTGGGAGGCTCGTCCCTAGGACTGCCCTTTCTAAAGTAACTCCCACCCCTCGCCTGGCACTCTCCAGCACTTTACCCTGAGTCCATCGGAAATGACCTTAAAGTATTTGTCTATTTGTATTTTTGACCATTAGATCCATTATCTCCACTGCCTGGCACAGCAAATATTTGTTGAATGAATGCATGTCCTTGACTCATGATGCTCATAAATCTCTCTCCTCCACCACCCTCTAAAACACTTTATCCTCCATTCCTCCACAAATCCCACCCATTACCTTTTCCTTGAAGACCATTCCTGTTTGCATTCATTCATTCAACATTTATTAAGTGCCAACAAGTGCCAAGCTCCCTGTGAGGCTCTGGAGCTGCTCCGATAATTAAAACCATGCTCATGGCAGACTCTAAACTAGGTACGACAGTGTTCTATCTTGTCAATTCTCATTGCCCCCCTCACCTCCATCTCTCTCTCTTGCTAACTGCCTTGACCTTCACTGACCTTGATCAGCATCCAGAGAACCTCCCATCTCTTGACACTTCACAACCCCCCCAAAGCGTCCTTCCCCCCAGCTCTCACTTATCTGTGTAGGCAGCTGGGCCTGCAATGGTCTTCAAACTCCTTCCATTGCACTACTCCGTCAGTGATAAACTTTTGAACACAAACCTCCGGTATATGTATATTTATTTTTCTAATTTATATACATATAAATGTTATGTGATAAAACGAACTCTCAAACAGGAATTATGAAGGGAGGAAGGAAGAAATAAAAATAAATTTAGGCTCTACTATTTTTCTCTCTGCCTCTGATGTGGCCCCCACCCCGGTGGTCTCCCTTCCACCCTCGCTGTCTTCAGACTGAGTCCTGGAATCCGATGGACGCTTCCTTTCTGGTTCCAGCAAAGTGCTGAGCTGGCAGCTCCGTCTTCTTTGGCGGCTCCTCTGTGTCCCTCATTTGATGGTGTTTCATCTCCTGCTTTCTATCTTCTCAGTCTGTAAACCAGGGCAATCTTATGCTAACTCGGGGCTTTAACCTGTTTGAGGATTTTGGAAACCATGAGATCTTCTTCAGGGCTGCTGGAATGACTCTTGAAATTGCAAATTAGATTAGGACACTCTGGCTCGAGTCAACCAGTGGCTTCCCATCACATTCAGAATAAAACCCCAAATCCTCCTGGTGGCCCACTAGGGAGGCCTCTGCACCATAGCTCCTTCCTCTCCCCTTCTCCCTTTCTGTTCCAGCTCCGTGGACCTCTCGTTTCTCCCTGAACTGCGGTCAGCCCTCCCTTGCTTTAAGACATTTACCCCTGCTGTTCGCTTGGCCAGGCCCACACTTGTGCAGATTCTCATGGCTGCCCCTCCCCTCAAAAAATAGCAGCTCCCCCTCCATCGCCCCTTATGCTACGCTGCTCGATTGTTCTTTATCACACTTCTCTCCCCATGACGTGGTTCTCTTCATTGCTGTGGCCCCAGTGCCTGGGACACTGTACGTGATCAACAAATGCGTGCTTTTTCCCGCAAATCTACACGCCTGCTCTCCTGAGCTCCAGGTCCATGAGGCCAACTTCCTTCTAGACATCTTTTGCATGTCCCACGAGCTCCTCCATCTCAACATGTCCAAAAATTTTACTTCCTTCTCCCAAAACTGGCCACCCAGCTCCTCAAGCCATTCACCATTGGCCCACATTAGAAACGTGGCAGTGGGGTCCGGGCTGTGTGGCCTAGTGGTTAAGTTCGCGTACTCTGCTTCTGCAGCCCAGGGTTTCGCCGGTTCGAATCCTGCGCATGGACATGGCACCGCTCATCAAGCCATGCTGAGGCAGCGTCCCACAAGCCACAACTAGAAGGACCCACAACTAAAATATGCAGCTATGTACTGCGGGGATTTGGGGAGAAAATCAGGAAAAAAAAAAAAAAAGATTGGCAAGAGTTGTTAGCTCAGGTGCCAATCTAGAAAAAAAGAAACCTGGCAGGAATGCCAGACTCCTTGCCTCTGACGGCCAAGCAGTCCCTAAATCCCACTGAACCTCTGCACTCTCCCTTGCACCTCAGCCCCACCGCCGCTGGCTTTGCAGGGCCCTCACTCTCTCTCACCAGCTGGTCTCCTCAACCAAGTCGCCCCTGTCCTTGTTGCCACCTCAGCACTCTCCGAAACTCAGTGATCACTTAATGCCAGGATTATCTTGAGGACAAAGTTCAGACTCAGCTTGGCTCACAAAGACCCGCAGGATCTTGTTCAGCCTTTCTGGCTTCGCTTTCAGACCAGACTACCTGGAGTTTCCCCTAAACACCTCTACCTCTCTCTGTTCTCTCTTCTCACCTGAAACGTCTTTCCTTTACTTTCCTACTGCCTCCGCTCTGCCTGGAGAAATCCTTTTTGTCTTTCCTAAGTCCCCATCTTCCTCCTGTGCTCCCATAGCACCAGGCCCGTACCTCTCTCCTCTTGTTGTACTTTACTAACCCATGTAAATACCCACATCCATAAATACTTCTTTACGCAGCCATCTGTGTCTATAATAAGCTGAACGTGAGCTCATACCACTATCTCCTACTCTAATCTATTCCCACCTGGACTGTTCTAGACTCCTTCTCTTGGCTCATCCGTAATTTCCCACTGCAGCAGTGAGACGGTTCCCACCACCTGCCATCCACTCACTTAATGTTTAATCGCAGCGTACAGGTATAGTGGTCTCTCACCATATTTGACCTGTGGGTTTATTTGTCCTCAAGATCGATGCTCATTCCCACGCACTTAAAAATAAGTGCTTAATACATGCCAGGCATTGATCTAAACACTATAAAACATTACTTGATTCTCACAACCAACCACGTGAGACATTTATCATTAGCTCCATTAAACAGAAGAGGAAACTGAGGTACAGAAACACCAAGTAAGTCGCCTAAGTTGCACAATTACTAAGTGGCAGAACCAAGCTTGTCCCCAGGGAGCGGACCTCCAGAGTTCTGAACTCCACAGCCTCCCCTGCGGGTAATGTGAGGTGAGATAATAATGCCACAGTCCCTTGACTTCTGACATTCTGGCCTAACTGCTCTTCAGTGTCGACAGCTTCCAGCGTTGGCTGTTTTCTGTGCCCCCTTCCGCACTGCCGACCCTCGCTGCAGGTGGAGGATGGTTCAGTCACAGCACTGCACTATTTACCTCACCCACGCCCTCATTACTCTTGTAAGCTATTTAATTCATCACCTGGGGAACCCCCATTCCACTCCCACAATAGTTGCTCCCAACTCCACCTCGTCCCCTCCAGGCCCTGGCCTCTGCCTCCCTAACTCCCAGAAGATTTCACATCCTGTCAGAGGCCTTTCAGCAGTGGTCCCTCCACGGTCCTTTCTCACACCTCAGTTTTCTCCACCTTTTTGTACACATCCTCTTCACACACACACGTCTCTAAGAAAATCCTCTCGCTCTGCTGTATGTGTAGGGACACTCCCTCCTTCTCCTGACCGCCACCTCTGTCTCACCTTAAGGACCTCAAGACAAGCAGATGCCTCCCCAATCTTAAATTTTAATAATCTAAGGGCCGGCCCTGTGCTGAGAGGTTAAGTTCGCGTGCTCTGCTTCAGGGCGCAGGGTTTTGCGGGTTTGGGTCGTGGGCGTGGACATGGCACTGCTCATCAGGCCACGCTGAGGCAGCAGCCCACATGCCACAACTAGAAGGACCCACAACTAGAATATACAATTATGTGCTGGAGGGATTTGAGGAGAAAAAGAAGGAAGGAAAAAAAATTGGCAACAGTTGTTAGCTCAGGTGTCAATCTTTAAAAAAAAAAAAAGAGAGATAAAAATCACAACTTTGCAACCATTTCATCTCTCACTTCTCCCCTCTTTCAGCCAATCTTGTCTGAGTGCCTCCTCCACGCCAGGCCCTGTTCTAGGAGCGAGGTTTCTGGGATAAACAAAACTAGCCAAACCTGTGACCTCAAGGGGCTGACGCTCTAGGACAGTCAAAATGCTCGAAGCAGCAGGGAATGCCCCCCACCTTCCACTTGCTCACAGAAAAGAACACATCTTGGTGAAAAGTAACCATTATTCATTTTATTGAGTATACAGATGCAATTCTGTTGTCCCCTAACAATATAATTTATGATCAATAATCTCTGACTCAGTTAAAATCTCCACAGGGACCTGTTCCCCAGCTTCTTAGACATTATTACTTGTGACAACACACTTTCCAAGACTGGTGTTTCTGGAGGTGGATCTGACAAGAGAATGAATTCTGCTCTGAACACAGGCTTGTGGCCCCCAGAAGACTCGGAATTAAAGAAGAGTTTCTTTCTCTGGCAAAATTGTATTCCTTCCATCGCACTACCCTACCAACGATTCTTATCATAAGAGCTGGCGTCACCCGGAGTCCCACAGTGGCTCACCCAGCACAGCTAGGGGACAGCTGCTCGCTGTGACTTGGGGTTGGAGATGGGTCAATCTGGACAGAGACAGCTTGGCTTTCAGAACCGCACAGAAGCCTTTCGGACAGTCCCATTGGGGCCTGCATTCCACACTGGCCTTGGCCTAGTGCTGGATACTCATAGACAACTTTTAGTCAGAAAAAAAGCCCAGGAGGGAAGCTCCACACCGACCGCTTAACAGGCCCCTCCTCTCAAGCTACAGCTCCACGGCAGAGAGGGGGATGTCCTTCAGTTCATCCTTTGCCGGGTGCACGTCTGACACCTTATTCATCTTGGTGAAAATGTGATTGATCTCCACGAATGTCTTGCCCTTGGTCTCAGGGACAATCAGGAAGATGTAGATGGTGGTGAGAAGGCAAATCACGGCAAAGATGATGAAGCTGTAAGCTCCGAGGCCCACCTGCGGGAAGGGGAGCCGGGTTCACCTTCTCGAAAAGGTCCTCACTTCACTGCTTGTGGATTTTGTGAATCCGGGCCCCCCGGGATGCACTTACTTGAATGAACGGGAAGACCAAGCCCACAGCGAAGTTGGAGAGCCAGTGGACGGTGCCCCCCACCATGTAGGCGGCCGACCTGGAGGACTGAAGGAAGACCTCCGTGATGAGCAGCGCCGGGATGGGACCTTGGGGGAGGGAGAAGAAGAGCTGGCTCCCCTGTGGGCAGAGCCAGCCCGCAAAGGGTCCTGGTGCCCCTGCCATGTGCAAGGCGCCCTCAGCACCTGGCCCGGGGGGCAGGGGTGTGTCTCCCGGACTCCTGGTCTTGTGGAGAAGCAGTGTGAGAAGGCAAATAGCAAGAGTTCAGCACAATAGATGATATCCTGTGATTCCCGAAAAGGGGCCATGACCACCCGTAAGGCTCTCTATGCCAATCACACAGGGCACCTACACAGGCTGCTTTACTGTCATCGCTCTAATTATGCTCCACCCAACCCCCTCTGAAATAGGAAGATGAGGAGAGAAGCCATGTTGGGGCTGCATCCTGCCCTCCCTGGAGCCTCTCTGATGAGCTCAAGCCAGAAGTTTCTAGGGCTGATGCAGGAGAGGGGGCAATGAAACCACAGAACCAGCTCTGGGTACATACTGGGCCCAAGGGCATGTCCTATGACGTAGGAGATGACACAGACGATGCTGATGTAAGGCATCCAGGATACCCTGTCCTGTGGGGGGAAAACAGAGTTGGATAAACCCTGGGCAAAGGAGAGACAAAGCTGGGATGGGGATGTCAGGAACCTTGGTCCCCAGAGGGCCAGGTACTCCACCTGGGCTGGGAAAGGATGGCACCTGGCTGCTCCTTCAACAGGCAGAACCACCTGGATGCCACTGGAAAATTATCTGGAAGTGGGCAAGGGGGCTACTGAGGGTGGGGGGTACAGCTACACGTGGTCCCCAGGCATCTGACTCATCCTAACGGCTATAACAACGTCATTTTGGTCTTTTTTCCTATAACGTAAGTGAGGGCAGAGGGTGAGAGTGACACTGCTCTGGCTTCTGGGCGCCTCCACGTGGGGCCCAGCTTCCTCACCTGCAGAGCCAGAGCGACGGTCAGCACGCAGCAAGCGATGAAGCAGACAGAGAAGCCCAGGAGGAGCAGGGCCCTCCTCCCCAGGTACTCCACCACGAACACCTGGAGGGAAGGGGCGAAGGAAGCAGCGGCGATCAGGAGCCCTGCACCCGCCAGGCAGGAGGTCGGGTGGGCCCTGGTGGTCCAGCCACACCCCTGACTGGAGCTACCCCAAGAGGAAGCCCCTGGCCCATCCCAAACACCTACTTCTGAAGGGGCAGCTGTGAGGAGAGCCTGGTGGGTTACATGCCCACCTGTGTACATATGTGTGTCCCCAAGAGTATGACCTTGAATGGCCATCAGGCCACCACACTGCCCAGTCCAGGTGCTGTATTTGTTCCTGTCAGACTGTGGCCCTGGCCCCAAGTGTAAGATGTTGGAGAAGAGTCACCTCACACAGAGGAAACTACTGGAGTAGGGGGCAGGGTTCTCCATCTTTGGGGAGCCATAGGCTGTCCCCTACAAGAGACAGGCTATCTCAGGAGAGCCCAAGAGGCTAGAGATAAGGGGACCAAGGAGCATCCTGCCATCTTAGATCCGGGCTCCTTCCTTGGCCAAGACCCCCATTCTCAAGATTCTCTCCAACCTTGGCAGTGGACAGGGAGTCAGTTCCCCTGGACACTCACAGCGCAGATGGTCATCAACACGTTGACAGCCCCTGTGCCCACCGTCACGTACTGGACATCCTGGTCTTTGACCCCAGCGCTCAGGTAGATCTGGTCTGCGTAGTAGTAGATCTGGAAGGCAACCCCAGAGGCTGGTGGGGCCGGGCAGGATGCAGCCTGGACCTGGGGCAATCCTGCACCTGGACACTGCCCGCTGTCCCTGGCCCTGGGCAGCTCCGTACCGCATTCACTCCTGACAGCTGCTGGCCGCCCATGAGGATGATGATGGAGATGACCTGCCATCGCAGGGACCTCATCCTGAACATCGTCAGCACGGAGATGATGCCCGCGGCCTTCTCGGCCTCGTCCTCCAGCTGGATCTCCTCCATCTCGGCATCCACATCATCCCAGCCACGCAGCCTCTTCAGTGCTAAAGGAGGGGAGCAGAGAGGGGTCTGAGAGTGGACCATGGCTTCCCCGGAGCGAGACGCTGCGCCCTTGGCTGCTTTTCCTCCTCTCACAGGGAAGCCTTACCGTTTTTGGCAGCTGCTGCATCTTTCTTCTGAATCAGCAGGTACCTGGGGCTCTCGGGGAAGAAGGGCAGTAGAAGGAGCTGCAGGGCTGCTGGAATGGCAGTCAACCCGAGGAGGATCGGCCAGCCTACAGGGAAACCAGTGTCTCAACGTGAGACCTGGCTCTGACGCCATCTCTGGGAGAGGCCCACCAAACCCAGCATCCAGCCTCCAGCCCCCGCCCCGCCCCCATGGTGCCCAGCTGGCCACGCTGCCCCATTACCCTGGTGAGTTTTCTTTGGAGCTGGTACGCAGGTTCTGAGGGGCAGGGGCTTGACTTTCTTACCCCCGTATCCCAGCACTACGGATGGTGCCTAAGAATAGCAGACACCCTAAATAGTCCCAGAATGGGTAATGATGAATAAGCCCTGCCCACCTACCAGACGGACAAAATGAAAAATTCTGAGAATAACAAGTGCTGACGAGAATGTGGGTGAATAAGAAGTCTCCACACTGCCATGTGCGGACATGCAGCATCTTTAGAGAACAGTATGGCAGGAGCTGGTGACGCTGGCCACCTTCACACTGTGACCCAGCAGTCCTGTTCAGGTGTATGCCCAGGCCACCAGGACCCCTGAACTGGAATCGTCAGAGCAGCACTGATCAGAGAAATGAAAACTAGAAACAATGCAAGCGTCCACAATGGCAAATGGATACACAAATCACGGTGTATTCATAAAATGTAAATTTATACTGTAATGAAAATGAAAGAAGCCAGGACAGGAGCCAATCCCACAAACACCATGTCGGAGGCAATAATCTGCACAATGTGGTTCCCTTCGATAAAGTCCAGAAACATTAACTCTAACCTTCGCGAAAGGTAGTGAAACTATAGGGAAAACCAAGGATGCGATGATCACAAATAAAATGTCAACACAGTGGTTCCCTTTGGGAGCTGGAAGGCTGTGATTGAGGGGTGCACAGAGGACTTCTGGTGGGCTGGTGTTGTTCTAGTCTTGGACCTGGGTAGTGGTCACACAGGTGTTTGATTTGTTTGACTAAATGCACGTTTACGTTTTATGCACATTTCCTTACATATGTTATATCTCACAATAAAAATGGGTAAATAAGTGAATGAGTAGTTCAGGCTCCTTCTAGGAGTGGTTAGTGCCTGACTTGCCCCTCTTCTCCTAGGGCTTGCAGTAGGTGACAACCATGGATACCTGCCTGCCAGGCCCCAGTCTAATGGCTCTTCACTCCCCCATCACAGCAACATCAAGAGGCAGGTACCGAGGTCAGTCCCATTTGACACCTGCAAACGCTGAGGCTGGAGGGTGGAGGCCTCCTGCCCAAGGTCAGCATTTAGGAGCAAAGCTTGGATTCGAACACAGGCGCGGCCACTCTGGGTATTCTTAACCACACATTACACAGACTCTTAGTCAAACTTAAAACTGTGACCACCTGACAACCCGTGATTTACCATCAATCTCTTCTAAAATAGAGTCCAACTACTGAAACAGAAGAGAAATCAAGGAAGAACACCCTCATTTAGACATCATCTTTTTCAAGCCATATTTCAACCTCTGAAGCTTCCCCCATCCTATAACCTCATCGCTCTTCACCAGGAAAACGAGTGCCAGGCAATCTTAAATTCACCTCCTGCCCTGCCCACCGTTGTACTGGCTGGCTGATCATCTTCCCGACCTCGGCTCCGAATCCAGGGCCCAGCTAACCCTAGCTAACCTGGGGGCCTGCCTCACCCAGCACGGCCTACAGCAACAGTGGACGTACCTGCTGTCCAGGCCACTGCCATCCGGCCTCTGGCCCCACACTCTACACTGAAAACCTTTTCCCGAGGTCTCGGAGACCCCTCACTGCCAAATCCAGATACCGTGTGCCAACCTTGACCCCTGGCTTCTTTGCAGCCTCTGCACGGTGACCTTCCGCCTCCCGTGCCACTCTCTTCTGGAGGCTTCTCTGACACTATTCTCTTCTGGTTCTCCTTCCTTGTTCTTTGAGCACCTATTATGTGCCAGGAATTGTGCTGGAGATTCAAAAATAGATAAGGCCAAGCCCTGCCCTCCACACACTCTGTCTAGAAGAAGGGTACTGATGGTCAAATACTCAGAATAAAGGACGGAGGGACAAAATGCAGCCCCCCACCACATCTGCAGTTCCCTGAATGTGGAAGAACTTGTACACTTCTGCCCCTCTGCCCGTGTCTGGAACGCCCATCCTCCATACCCTTGGTCCAGGCCTCTCTGAGGCCCCCTCCCTCCCGGGAGCACAGCAGAGAACACTTCCCAGATGCCGGTGCTGCGGATGGCTCTGGGCGCTGCTGGTTGTTTACATGCCGTCACTGGGAGACAGGACGCTCGCCCCTCACTCCTGGGCCCAGCTCCTTACAAGAGTGATTCAAAGGCAGGAGACAGTGGCAGTTAAACATGGATGTGGGCCTGAGCTGCCTGGGCTGGTGTCCTAATGAGACCTTGGACATGTCATCCCACCTCTCCATGCCTCAGGTTTGGCACCTGTAAAGTAGGTATGATACCAGTACGTGCTTTGTAGGCTTGTTCGGGGGATTCAGTGGATGAATATGAAAGCCTTGGTGCTGGCCTACGAGGAGTACTTCATACGTTTGACTGGTGTTGTTATTAATGGTGATTCCCCTTTCAGAGTTTTGAGACCCATGACAAAGAGAGGGGAGGTCTCGCAGACACAGTGATGGTTGCAAGTTACTGTGCACCTACTGTGTACAGGTCCCAGGCTCCTGGGAGGGGGCGCAGCTCTGGAGTCATGGTCTGGATGAGACTCGCCACCTCACCCACACGTGCCAGGTGGAGGGACTGTCTTTCCTGGCTGTGGAAAGGGATCATCACAGAGCCCCCTGGGCAGCGGCATTGGGGCGGGGGGTGGCTCCAGCGAAGCAGTAACACAGGTAGCTGGCATCACTATGCCCCAGGCCCCCATACGGACAGCCACCAAGCAGGCCTAGAGACAGTCAGACAATAGCGCTTCCTGCTCACTCAAAGCCACCTCATCCGTGTCCTCAGAGGGACTAGGAAACATCAGCCAATCCTTCCCCACCAACTTGTTCAGGGCCTGCTCTGTGCTAACGCCATACCAGCATTGTGGGGTCAGGGCAGTGTGGGGCCCACAAGGACAGCCAGTCGATTAGAGAGAAAAGACAGGCTCACAGAAACGTCCAGTCGGAGCAGAGGGAGGGCTGCGGGTCCAGAGGCACCCTGAGCTTACCTTCTTCAGTTGCAAGGAGACTCCGAAGACCAACGATCTGGGCCACAAGGATGCCAACGGTGATGAAGAGCTGGGGCACCACCCCGAGAGCCCCCCTCAGGTTCTTAGGGGACAGCTCCCCTAAGTACATAGGGACAACGTTGGAAGACAGACCTGGGAGAGGGGTTGGAATGAAAACATGACCAGGAAACGTTAGTCTGGCAGGGCCAAGGTGTGTCTCCAAATACATTTATTCTTACTCAGCAATCACACTAGTTGGGATGAAACTTTCCGGAAGCTGCAGGAGTATGCAAACGCCTCTTTTAATTCTTAGTCCTTTGAACTTTTAAGGAAGGAGAAAATAGTCTGACCAAAGAAGTTATGAACAGATGCCCTTGCTTCTGGCCTGGTGGTGCCTGGGGACAGAGGCCTGCCTGACCTCAGGTCTTCCCTCCTGACTGGCTTGGCCTCAGAGAGGAAAAGCCCGGGTTGGTCTAGACACTCTCTCCTCTGCTGCTCCCTGGGGAGTCTGTTAATAAAAGGCCAAGGACCCTGCCCGCTTCTGAGACAGTATGTCACATGATAAACCCATCATAGATACCTTGACAGACACTGAAACACAAGCTTTATTTATAATAAACGTTAAAAACTTAAATACACAATGTGGAACAACTGCCACCTGGGACGTACGTAACGCCTGGATTACTTCTGAATCCCCAATATGTAAACTTGTAAGTTTTCCCATCTGACTAGAATCTGATCTTAAGAATAGTTGGAACTTGGGGCTGGCCCGGTGGCCAAGTGGTTAAGTTCGCACGCTCTGCTTCACTGGCCCAGGATTTTGTTGGTTCGAATCCTGGGCACGGACCTAGCACTGCTCATCAAGCCATGCTGAGGTCACGTCCCACATGCCACAACTAGAAGGACCCACAACTAAAATACACAACTATGTACTGGGGGGCTTTGGGGAGAATAAGGAAAAGTAAAAAATAAATCGTTAAAAAAAAAAAAAAGAATAGGTGGAACTTAATTTTCAGGTTCTGAAGCATTTTCACGTACATTATCCCTTTTAATTCTCCTAAAGGCCCAATGAGAGGCTAGGAGTCTCAGAGGAAGGTCAGACGGGTTGTTACAAGGTGGGTTGTTAGTCCAAGTATCCTACACGTAGTCAGAACTCTCAGAGAGACGTGGGGTCTGCGGGAGACTCCGGCCACGGGGAGACGGAGTGGAAACGGAGCCTGGGGTGGGCAGAGGCCAGAGCTGCTGCTCCTGGGACGGCCTTGGGAGACACTGAGACAGGAGGGAACTGAAGGGCAAGTTCTCAAGCTTCGCCATTCTGCCCAAGGGTGTCTCTGTTTAGTATTTTAAAAGAGACATCTGCGTTCATCACCATGGGTTCTTTCTGGTTTTCCGAGCACAGGAGGCAGTCTTTAGAACAGCCAATAGGGTCTTGTGGGGGAGGCACCCCGCAGGCCCGGTGCCTCCTGTGGAGGACGCTGAGGCCCCGTGGTCACCACTCAGGCCGTTCTCAGTGGAGAGTGCTTCTGAACCTGATCAAGGACAGCGCTGAGGCGTCAGACAGCAGGAGGCTGCTGAAGAGATGCGATTCCCTTCATGTTGGTGGAAGCAATCTCTATTTTGTCTTAAAAATGACTCCCTGGGGCAACCCCAGCCGGCCTGTTCTGACACAGAGTCAGAGAGAGTGGCTCCTAACGTTTAAAGTCCTTGAGCGAAAGCCTTCAGCCTTCCTGCCAAAGCTAACTCAGCAAGCCAGTAACCCGTGAGCATCCTCTAGTCCAACTCGTATTTCTCTCTGCGCCCGCCGGCCGCGGTGGTTGTTTACTTCAGCATCAGGATGTCTAAGAGGCATGCAGCTTCATGCTGCATTTTCCTGACTTTTTCAAGAACTAACTGCAAAGGAACTATGCTTCTGCGGGTGTTCTCTAAGCTCGACCTGAGGACCCAGGCTCCTGACCCCTTTCTAGGGGGTCAGTGAGACCAAAACTATTTTCATAAAAATCCCAAGATGTTATTTTTCCCTGTCATCCTCGCTCTCTCGTGAGCACACATGGAGTTTTCCAGAGGCTACACGCCGTGTGCGATCACAAGCAGCAGAGCCCAGGAGCAGGGCTGAGGGTCTGGCTGTCTTCTACTAAGTCAGAGGTGAAAGAGATTTGCAAACATGTAAAGCAATGCCACTCTCCTCGCTAAATTTTTTGTTTCAGAAAATACAGTTATTTTCACAAAGACACGTAATGGGCTTATTATTGTTATTTTTAAAGGAAGTAAGACATTTCTTGGTTGCAATTTTCTAATATGGTAAATATTGATCAATAAATCCCATATCAGCAAAAGCTCTTTGGGGCCCTCAATAATTTGAAGAGTGTAAAGGGGAAGTGAGGCCAAAAAGTGTGAGAACAGCTGACTGAAAGGAACGCTTGCTCAGGAGTAAAGGTGGGTTTTTAACCGTGATCTGTCATCTATGGGAGCCTAATATTTCACTGTTGGAACCAACTCTGAAATGTTGGATGGTCAATCAAAAAGCGACTGCCTCAGCTCACAGCTGGCAACTTTCAGGAATCGTCTATTTTCCTAACGCTGAGCCCCACCGCAGGGCCAGGGGCGGGGCCAGGTGCCCTGGGGGCTCAGGCCAAGATGGCAGAGACCCGTCCGGGCGCCCCCAGGGAATGTGAATATGAAGTGAAGTTTGCCAGGGGGCCCATCATTCTCTCCTTGAAAGGACTTCTTCTCCCTCCAGGAACCTTGTTTTCCTCTTCTGTCCCCAGGCCTGCAACCCCTCACCATTTCCCCTGACGCCAGGCTCCTCGCCGGCCGCCGGCCCCTCCGCCCCTCCGCCCCTCCTCCGCCCCGCGTTGTCAATGAGCTCCAGCGAAAGGCTTTGCTGCTATCTAGCCAGAGGATCCCTTCATCCCTATCCCCGTGTTTGGAAGGAGAAAATGAGAGTTACTTGGCAATGCCAGAGCCGGGTAGAGGGGGCAAGGGAGGTGCCCCGGGTGCAGCATTCCCGAGGGCGCTCCCCTTCGGAGCCCACCCTGAAGGTGCACGCCCCGAGAGCAGGCGCCTCCTTGCTTTACACCCAGGCGCCTCACTCACCTCGACTGACCCTGGGAATCACTGCCTCAAGAGAACGCCAACTCGGGGGGAAGGCCACGGGCCGGCTCCAGCGACGGCTCCTCCTCCGTCTGAAGCAATTACGGGGGAGTTTTCTAGAAGCACTCAACAACAGCCTGGGCTGCATGGCTTTGCAGGGCTTGCAAACCAGCTCCACAGGGGCTGAGGTGAGAGCTAGGCCGCCAGCAGGCGGGCGCTGAAGCACTAAGGGAACCAGAACCCACGAAAAGCCCTTCGCACACTTTAAAGCCCCACGCAGGTGACAGGCTGCTATCCTTGACTCCCTAAGTAGAGGGCTTCGCACATTAGACTGTTTCTCAAGCTGTTTTGACTCACAATAGAAAACGCAGAAATACACTTTACACGGCCACCTGGTTCACATACGCACACAGATGAGCAACTGAAACAAAAGCTTCAAAAGATAGTCCTTACTTTTATGACACGTGACACAGTCTGCTCTAGTTAAAAAAAGAAAATCCTGCTCACTAAACAGATGTCAGCACCCACTAACTGGTCCCAACCTGCAGTTTAGACAATGCTGAGAAGAGAGACTGGAATGGAAGGATCCTTCGGAACCTAAGATTCTGCATTTCAGTCTTTCAAAGAACAGCTTTCTTAGCAGGAAACGTCACAGTGAAGATCCGCCTGCTGTCCACCCCTGACACCAACGCAGGGGCTCGAGCATCTCCTCACGGCAGAGGCAGAGCAACAGCACGAATCTATACGCTCAGACACCAGCGCCTGTTCCCCTCCTCTTGATTATCCTAAATCACAGAACCGTAGCAAGCGTAGCATTGTTACCTGCACATATTCCCACCAAAAGTCTGGACAAAATTATCATCTCGTACGACCTGGCAGTTTTGCTGGTTCCCATTAAGATGGCGGGCACGATGGAAAATATGTTGTTAAACAGCAAGGTCCCTTTTCTGCAGAGGACAAATATCAATTAATTGTCTGGTTTAAGAATTCACTCATTCATTTAACAAACGTTCATTGAGCATCTATTCGGTTCAAGCAGTAAGCTTCACTGTTGTGTTTTAAGCTTTGCTGTTGACTGAAGACTGACACAGGTCAAGTGTGGAGCCTGGTGTGGAATAGTCTCTGTGGGAGCAAACGGAAATGCCCACAGTGCAGAGGGCATCAGCGGTGGCGGGTAGAGGGAAAGTCACAAATTACAATACAGTAAAGGGCTTTTTCAATCATAAACAAACATGATTTTAGTGTAATCTTGAAATTCAAACTGGGTGAGGATATTAGAAGAAAAGTGTGAGCCAACTTCACTTACCAACATAGATACAAAAATCCTAAATGAAATATCAGCAGATTGAATTCAACAGCATATATGAAAAAGAACTTTCAGTGTTAAAAACACCATATTAAAGATTACACTGGGGAAAAATATAGGATTATCAACTGAAGCAGCAAAAGAAGTCAATAAAATTTGATACTCATTATGATTTTTTAAAAAACCATAAAAATAAGGGAACTTATGTAAGCTGACAAAGGGTATCTCCTAAAAACCTATAACATCAAACTTAATAAAACTTAAAAAGCACCTCCATTTAAGTCAAGACTGGAGGTGGACTTGGGCCCTGGAGCCTGACAAAGGCACAGGGAAAACTTCTCGAGAGGCTCCTCACATCGGGCTCCCCAGGGGTCCCTCAGTCAGGCCCGCGAGCGATGGAGCCCCACCATCACAACACACACAACAAGCCACCATATGCAAGAGCTGCATGTACGAACAGCGCAGTTTCAGACGACAGAATCGGACAGAGGCTACAAAATGTATTACACGGTTAGTGTCAGAAAACAAGGAATCAAAATATGCTAAAGGGAGAACAAGAAACTATATAAAACAAAACCTATCCGAAACAATATCAAAAAGAGAGACAAATTTTCAAAACAAGTAAACAAAACTTCTTGAAATGAAAAGTATAGTCATTGCAATAAAAAATTTAGTAGGGGAATTACGGCTGAGGAGAGAATTAATGAATAGGGAGGTAGACTCGAGGAAGTTACATAGACAGTAACAGAGAGGGAGAGAGAAGAAGATGGGAAATAGGAGAGATTAAGACGTGGATTATAGTATCATTATTCACAAAAGCCAAAAGGTGGAAGCAACCAAATGTCCATCGACAAATGAATGGATAAACAAAATGTGATATATTCATACAACAGAATGTTATTCAGCCTTAAAAAGGAAGGAAATTTTGACACATGCTACAACACGGATGCACCTTGAGGATATTACGCTAAGTGAAATAACCTAGTCACAAAAGGACAAATCTTGTATGATTCCACTCATATGAGGTCCCTGGGGTAGTCAAACTCACAGACGGAAAGTTGAATGGTGGGTCCCAGGGGCTGGGGGAAGGCGGGAATGAGGAGTTCTTGTTTACCGGGGCACAGTTTCAGTTTTGTAAGATGAAAAGTCGTGGAGATGGATGGTCGAGGTGGTTGCACAACAATGTGAATGTGCTTAATGCCAGTAGCCTGGACACTTAAAAATGGTTAAAATGGTAAATTTTATATTATACGTATTTTACCACAATTTTTAAAAAATAATTTTTTGAAGAAGTCAATAGGGCAGCAACAACAACAATCAAAGATATGGAGGAAATCCATGGAGTTCTAGAAGAAAGAATATAGAAAATGGAGGAGAGAGAATATTTGTAGAACTGACGGCTGAATTTTCCAAAACTGATGACAAAGACATGAAACTTCAGATAAGGAACCACAGCGCATTCCAGAATAAATAAATTAGCCCTCGCTTGCTCACGAAGAGGGATGATTCAACAGCGTAAGGATGTCAGTTTTTCTCAAATTAAATGATAAATCCAAAGAAATTCCAAGCAGAATCTTTCCTCAGGGATGTTGACAAATTGATTTAAAAATTAACACAGAGGAGTAAAGAAACACAAATAACTAAGATAAATCTGAGAGCAACTGACTTTTCACATGGGAAAAAAATAAAATTAGCTTTCTCTCATCACTCACTATATACAAAACAAAATTCCAGATCTATTTGGGAAAAACAAAATTGTAAGATTATTTTTAAAATTATAGAAGACTATCCTTATGATTCCAAGTAGGGAAAGCTACTTAAGACACAAAAATCAGAAACCATAAACGAGACTTAAATTTGACCACATGAACATTTAAAAATTTTGTATAAAAATGATACTATATGTCTGATTAGAAAATAAAGCAACAGATTGAGAGGACGTCTGCCCAATATAACAGAGTACAATGTGGAGTTTACTTGCACTTGCTCAGAAGTGAAATTTCCTCCCAGCTGTGTAATCTTGGGTATGTTACACTGTCTCTCTGTGTCTCATTTTCCCATCTTTGAAAAGCGGATGGGGCTTTTGTAAGGATTAGAGGAATCAATAACCCTAGAAGCACTCAGGCTAGATCCTGGCACATAGGAATCCATCAATAAATTGTTAGTTGCTACTGTTCTTTAAGGAACACCTACAAATCTTTAAGAAAACCACAAGCAACTGAATAGGATTTATCACATTCTCAAGCAGATGGTTGGACAAGCAACTGTCGGCTCCATCTGCACACCAGATGGCAAGTCCTTCACTCAAAGAGAAGCGTCCTGCAGATCTCACTGTGACTTGACTGATAGATGTCCTGCCCTGGGGGTCCCAAGGAAAACTGCGAGTTCAACATCAACCCTCCAGAAAGACCTTAGGATCTTAGATCCCAAACCAGAGGTTCTATGTTTCTATTCTCAGATTCTTTTTGAAAAATACTGGAGAAGGAGTTAAGGTCTGGGTTCTGACCTTGACTCTTGAGCTAACTAGATCTGTGGTCAAGAACAGCGACTCGACCTCCCCCAGCCTCTGTGTACCCATTCGTGAAGGGAAGGGGTTGGAGGGGAGGAGCTGGGAAACGCTGTTTTTAAGGGGGCTGCTCTCTCCTGTCTGTGGAATTTACCTGGGGGAGTGGGATGTCTTAAGGACATGTTTTGGAATCAAATACAGAATTTCTAATGCTTCTAGAATTAGGGGCAAAGATATAAGCTCTGCCCTTGGCGTTCACGACACTCACAGTCAGACTCACTCTGGGACCACAGTTTCACACTGAAGTGCCTGACACTGATCTCAGCCATTTCAAAGTTTTACATGAATTTAATTTGGGCTAAATTTTGCACATTACTTGATCCCAAGGTAAAAGAATGGAGCAGTTCGTTTGTGTTCCTTTAAGAGGCAGAGATCAAGGACGCTGCACTGTGTTCTCGGGTGGGACTAACATCGTGGCCACATCATCTGGTGTTCCACCCTTCGAAAGGTGAAAAAAGAGGAGAGAACTTGTTTTTGGCTTTGGTAGGGAAAATATCTTCAAGGCAAGAGAGCAGAGACAGCAAGAGTGAGTCCGGACCTCTGAAGCATACTCTGCTCTTTCGGTATCCCACCCAGAGCCTGAGCCTCATCACCCCTACTTCTGGCCCTCAGACCTTGCCTAGGTCCCCAAACACTTGGTCAATGTCTAGTCTTATTCTTAAGATCATGTTAGAAAACAGAAATCATCACAACGGTTATAAACTAGTTTTCCAAGAACAATTTCAGCTTTAGGCCTAGTCTATGAGTTTTGGGGAATTGAAAATTACCTTCCCTTACCTGCCAAGTCTATTCACCAAGGGGCCAACCATGAGGGATCCGACGAAGCCTCCAAAGGGAAACATGGACACAGAAATGGACCACAGCAACGTCAAGGAAAACTCGCTGATGTATTCACTGAATCTACTGTAGTGGGTCTCATTATAAAATGCTTTCATGAGCTGGAGAACAAAGCAAAACAGAACACCCAGATCATTTGGCCTGGTTTTGCAGAAAGAGCCACCTAAGTTGTTGGGCCACCCAATGGGATGAGCTGGGCGCACAAATATCAACACTATTAAGTGGAGGAAAGGGCGAAAGTTAACAGCAATTAGCAGGGGGCACCCATGGGGAGGGCTGAGAGGCCTCTGAGAGGCCATCCGCCCGGGATGTCTCTACCACCAGAAAGGACTGACTCCAGTCTGCCAGTCTGTTGGGCGATCCCTGCCTCTGCAGACTCCTCTGTAGATTGCAAGCCTGCAGATCAGACCCTGACCCCAGAGGCCAGCCCACTGTGTGTCCAGCTGGCTGGCTCTCTGTGAGAAGCTGAGGCCTGGGCACTTGGTCCATCCCCATGGCCCTGTGCCTGTAAGTTCCCAAGCCCTGCACTGTCTCTTGGGTGTGTTCCCCTCCTTTCGCTTGAGGACCCACTGTGTGCCCTCAGTGTGTGTGTGCAGTCTCACCCTGGCGACCACGCCCGGCACGGGCTGCTCCCAACCCACCTCCCTGTTTACTGGGGGCTGCGTCTCCCTCACTACAGCCACCTACCTCGGCAGGGGAGTTGACAGCGGCCACGTTGTACCCATACTGGAAGGATGATCCAAAGGCAGCTATCAGTGTCGCCAGGGCAAGCACAGGTGTCAGCCTCTGTGGGAGGAGAGGTCAGGGCTCAGGTCAGGAAGCAGCCCGGGGTCGGACGGAACTCCCGATTTACTGCAAAGTCTTGTAGAAAGGCGTAATACAATCTGAAGATCCGCAGCCGCTCCCTAGCTTGAAACCTCCCCTCTCCCCACCTGGCATGAGAACAGGTTTTCTCAACTGTAGCACTTAGGGCCGGATAATTGTTTGTTATGGGGGGTGGAGGGGGGGGGACTGTCCTGTAGGATCAACCCTCCTCCCATCTGTGACAACCCAAATGTCTCCAGACATTGCTAAATGTCCCCCAGGTGGGTGGGGCATTGCCCCTGGTTGGGAACCACTGGGTCGGAAGGAAACTGAGGGTCACCTACTCCAACATTCCATCTACCGTCCGCACGGCTTCCCTGACATTCCTGCCACAGGGCTGCATTTGCCAACTGTAGCAAATGTGCTCAAGCACCATCTTAAACACAAAAGCCCCTAAAAATGGAAGAGGAAAAAAAATGCAAAAATTTTTAATTGTTTAGGGTCATTGATTAATTTCCTTTAGCCCCTGGACTTTTGCTGTAACAGGCAAGGCACAGTGAAAAAAATATTTGAACATAGATTTCTGGGGACTCTTGAACAGACACACCCTATGATAATATCCCCTTTTGACACAAGAGGAAAGTAAATAGTCGTTTAAGACAAGCTTAAATGATAAGAGGGAATTCATCAGTAAAGTAATGACAAGCAGGAGAAAAATAAAGTGGAAAGAGGTTTGCTCTTAGAATCTACAGATCTCATTTTGAATTTGCCGCTGCCACTTTTTACCTTAATTTTTACAACCTTCAGCTTCCTCATCTTTAAAATGAGGATATTAGTACTCCCTCGGAGCTGTTGCAAGGATTAATTAGGAAAGCGTCGGGCCAAGAGGTGAATCCCCTGTGGGTGAGGCCTGGACACGGCTCTGAACCCTCCGCTGAAGCCCCTTCATTCAGGTACTCCGATGGAGGTCCCCGTGACACGGGACACGTGCCCCTCCAGTGGCAAGCCGAGGTCCTCATGTCTTCCTCTGGGCAGCATCCCTCCTAATCTAAAGAGGACCTCTTGAGAGATAAGTGAGGGGCAGGACAGGCCCAGAAACAACAGTCACTCCTGCCTTGTCGCGGTGCCCCTGAGCGGACAGGCGAGCCAGTTAACCTCCGCAGAGCAGGAGCAGGACCTGCAAGGAGCCCTGGTCAGAGCAAAACCACAAGTGGGACTTCGCCCTTCTTCTCCCTGCACCAAATGAGTTAGCAAGTGGTTAGTTCAGTAGGAAGTTTCTGGTGAGGAAGATAACAGCCGCAGAGCAGGCAGCCTCTCAGGGAGGAGGAGGCCCTGGTTTCCAATCTCTCCCCAGCTCCCACCATCCTCTGGGGCCAGCGAGGGGAGTGGGTGACAAAAGTGGTGGGAGTGGGTGACAGTGCCCAGGAAGGAAAGCGGGTTCCAGGCCTGTTACTGCACAGCCCTGTATTTTCTAAATGCGAGGGGTGCACAAGCAGGCACCCCGCCCCTCCCCCCGAGATGCAGGGCATGGCAGACTGAGCTCCCCTCCCTCCTGAAGTGCTCTGAGGACTCATTCCTTCACTCATTCATTCAATATACTGAGCACCCACTGTGAGCCAGGCATTGTTCTAGGTGCTGGGAACATGGTGGAGAACAAAACAAAGATCCCTCCCCTACAGCAGTCTATTAATTGATTTTGTGGAAAGAAGGAAGGAAGGAAGGAAAGGAGGCAGGGAGGGAGGAAGGAAAGAAAAGAAGAAAATGACGATAAAAATTTCTCCTCTTCTAATTCTCTTCCCCGTAAACAATTAACTACAAATGCAACAGGCTTCATGCACACTGCCAGGTGGAACTCCTGACCACTCTCTGCTGTGATGGGTCCTAAGGTTTGAAGTCCTTAGCAAAGCTCAGCTGGGGAGCTGGCTGGTAACCCAGACTGGGGGGCATCCTGCCAGGCACCATGGCAGGATGGGATGGTGGGGTCCCAGCAAAAGTGATCAGAAAGACCTCAATAGAATCTCTAATCATAGAGCACACAAATTCAACTTCTATTCTCCGGCTTCCTCCTCGAATTCAAGGCACAGGCACATTCTATGGACCCATAGGAATCATAGCTTACCCTCTGGGAAAATAGCAGAGACATTCTGAGTAGGTTCTCACTGATCTTGCTGGTCCAAATGCCTTCACTCATTAAATATTCATTGACAGCTGACTATATGTTCTAGCTGCGGTCTGGTGAGCAAAACAGCTACTCTCAAGAGGATTATGGTCCAATGGAGAAGACAGACATTTAAAAAACTACATGATAATTTAATAATTAAACTATAACTGTCGCATGTTCTAAGAAGAAAAACCACAGAAGTGGTTAAAACGGGGAGTCAGGAAAGTGGCAGAGAGAGGATAGGGACTTGGGTAAGGGTGGTGGCTGTGGCAGGGGCAAGAAGTGTCAGCTTTGAAGACCATTTAGAAACTAAAATCAAAGGACTTGGTACCCCATAGGAAAATTCAAATCAAACCCACAATGAGATAGCACTTCTTACTAGGATGGTTAAAATCAACAAGACAGGTAATAATAAGTGTTGACAAGGACATGGAGAAAATTGGAACCCTCTCACAGTCTGGAAACTCCACACAAAGTTAACCCATATGACTCAGCAATCCCACCCCTAGGTACATATCCAAGAGAAATGAAAACATATGTTCACACAAACTTTACCACAAATGTTCACAGCACCATTAGTCATAATAGCCAAAAAGTGGAAACAACCCAAACGTCCGTCAACTCATGAGTGGATAAACAAAATGCGGACTATTCATATGATGGAATATTATTTGCTCATAAAAAGGAATGAAACCCTGATATCAGCTACAATGTGACGAGCCTTGAAAACATGCTAAGTGAAAGAAGCCAGTCACCGGAGACCACCTATTGTCTGGTTCCATCAATGTGGAATGTCCAGAACAGGCAAATCCATGGAGACAGAAGATAAATTAGTGGTTGCCTAGGGCTGGAGGAGAAGAGGAGGGGATGGGAGGAAATTCAGAGTGACTGCCAGTGGGTATGGGTTTCTTTCAGGGGTGATAAAAATGTTCTAAAATTGATTGTGGTGATGGCTGCACAACTCTGTGAATATACATTGAATTGCATAGTTTAAATGGTGAACGGTATGGCATGTGAGTTATATTCTCCATAAAGATACTACAGTCACACAACACAGAATGGCGTTTCTGTCAACAGCGAATCCCGCATATAACAGCGGTCCCGCAAGATTAGCACCATATAGCCCAGGGTGCAGTGGGCCATACTAGGTTTGGGTAAGTACGCTCTCTGATGTTCACACAACAATATCAACTAATGACACAGCTCTCAGAACATATGGCCACTGTTAAGCGACACATGAATGTATATTTAAAACGGCATGTATGGGGCCGGCCCCACGGCCGAGTGCTTAAGTTCGCACGCTCCGCTTCAGCGGCTCAGGGTTTTGCTGGTTTGGATCCTGGGCGTGGACATGGCACTGCTCATCAGGCCGTGCTGAGGCGGCGGCCCACGTGGCACAACCAGAGGTACTCACAACTAGAATATACAACTATGTACAGGGGGCTTTGGGGAGAAGAAGAGGAAAGAAAAAAAGGCATATGAAAGAAAGCCAGGCTTAAGCTTTCTTTTTCTCCTTTCTTTCTTTTTTTTTTTTTTACTTTCCAGGAAGGGGGAAAAAAGGGAATTTGGTACCAGGCTGAATTAGGGCATGAGGGAGAGGAAGAGGCCAAAGAGGATGTAAGGTCTCTAACCCGCCTGCTAAAATGACAAGTGGCCCAGTGGCCTGGAGACATGAATGGGAGGGGGCTCTCCTCAGAGGCCAAGGCGAGCCACGACTCTCCCTTGAGAGAAACCAGGAACAGCATCCCTCAAGCCCACAGTCAACCGGCTTCCTGTTTTTCATAATACTGAGAACATTTGAGACTTTAGTAAACTGACCACCTTCAGGGCGGGCCCTCTGGCAGTGTGATTCAAGGACACTGGGAAGGAAGCCCTGCCCTCACCATCTCCCTGAGGAATTCGTCTCCATATTCCATTTCCACCGTCAGAGAGACACTTTGCTGATAAGGTTTTTCTTTGTCAGGAATCTCTAGGCAGAATGCAAATATCTCTGGAGTTCTTATAAATTATTAGCACTTGAAGTCACACTGTGAACCCCAAGTTTTTATCACACCGTGGAACCCAAAGTTTCACCAGCAGACACAGGTTTAAGAGGTGAGGGGAGAGAGAGATCAACATCACCACATTTTAGAGCTGGGGGTGCCCTGTCTCGTTGCTGTGGGGTTCAGAGCACAGCCCCTGCAGCCCGAGGGCACAGGATCGAAGCCAGCTCTCCTGCTGCTGGCTGTGTGGCCTTGGTCCAGTTACTGAGCTTCTCTGTCTCTGTTCCTTCATCCGTAAAATGGGGACAACTATACTACCTTCCTCATAGGATTGAAACCAGTGGTCAATTAGTCATTAATGATTAGGTAGCTAGTAACTAAAGATTTTTTTGGCAGTTATTAATTGTGGCCTTTGCTTGTTCGCCTGCCCATTGTTAGCTGTGCTGCTTATTTTTAAAACCACGTAGATAGGCAAGGTATTGTCTGACTCCCACTAGGTTCCTCATAGATAACATTTCTGACGCTTGGGTCACCATGGTAACGGGTGTGTAAGTTTTTCAGGAACCGAGAGTCTACTCCTTGTCCAGTTCAGGCCAGTTAAGACCACTGACTCATCCACTGGGTGACCTCCTGATGTCAGGGAGCCAAAAACTCCATCCTCGGATTACGCCAACACTACCATTTTGTGAACACCGTCCTACGAAGAGCCACGAAGCTTGACTACGCTTGCGCAGATCAATTACCTGATGACTCCTTGCCTCCAATTATCTATCTTCAAACTTCAGACCACCGCCCCCTTATCCCATACACATCCCTAGTCCCCATTTTTCAGGAAGGCG